CTTGAAAAATTAATTTTTGGAATCCGATGGAAATTCCAAGATTATATTTATTTATATTCGGCAAATATTATGACCTTGGCCCGGAAAATGAAGCAAAGTAAAACTATTTAGTAACGAATTATAATTTTTTATTATAACCCGTTTTCATTATAAAATAAATATATAATAATTATTTTATAGTGATCGACATTGATTTTCAATCCAGCATAAAACCCCCCAAGGGATTTTGTAGCAAGGAGAATAGCCTCAAACATAATTTTATTTTTGTAAATAATTTAGTATATACAATTTCTCTGTAAAATATATACAATAAATATCTTTTAAATTATTAAAATTATTATTATTATAAAATATACACCCATACGTCCAAGTCCTTGCAATGTTTGCGTTTGATAACTATTCCCAATCAAAACGCTCGCCACGACCCCTGTCCCGGCACAGACCTTGCAAAACCCCTTTCCCCATTGGAAACGCTAGCTTTAACAAGCCTTGACCAAACTATCATCATGGTTCTATTATGTTCTATTCGTTTTTGATCGAATCCCATCGGAACGCCGGTTTCCAACGGGCCTTTTTTCGTGGGCACTGTTGACGCCCACAAACAAACACGCGAAGTAGGCCCTTTTCCTAGTTTGTATACTGCAGGATGGGTTCTGATAAAGGAAAAAAACGAGGTCCAAAACGAGGTCAAAACGAGGTACGGAAAAAGCCCCGCATCTACTCACATGGACTTTGGCCCGCAAGCCGCAAACCTGCCCTTCCTTGGATTACTGGTAGTAAAACAATGACCATTTGCAGAATCCCAGCACACCGCCATGGCAGTGTAGAGATAATAACAACAACAGCAACAGCAGCCGTCGAACCAGCAAGCGCAGCAACAGCAGCAGCCGTCGAACCAGCAGCCGCAGCAACAGCAAGACACCAGTAGCTGCAGAACCCAACAGCAACCATCCCAAACACAATAAGAACGCAACTAGCAAGATTAAAGCACTATGCTAATACCTAAACAACGCCCTACCCCAAATATAACCTAAATGCTGCTTCGCCACTTTAGGTCAACATAAAATAGTAAAACAACAATCTACCCTAAATACAAGCTAAACGCAGCATCGCCACGACTTCCACAAAAGCCTTCCCCCAAACTAATTTCAAGATTTTTGGGATTTCGCCACGACTTAGGCAATTAGGAATAAAATATATATATTAAAAATAAATAAACAATATATATTAAAAATTTAATTATTATATTTTAAAATATAAATTATTTATTTAAAAAAATAATATATTGTATTAAAATAAATTATTTTTTAATTTATAATAATATTATTTTTAATATATAATAAATTTTATTAATATTTATAATATTAAATAATTTTATATTATATATTATATCATTATATATATATATTATATATATATTATATATATATTATATATATATTATATATATTATATATATATATTATATATATATTATATATATATTATATATATATTATATATATTTTAAATATTTTATATATTTAAATTTAATATTATTATATTTAATATTTATTATATAATTTATATTTTAAATTATTTTAATTAATTTTAATTAATTTTTATTTTTTTCCCGAGAGTGTCTGAGCGCAGGATTCTTCCAATAATGGGAATTTGTAAAATATCTTCTTTTTCATCTTCATATCTTCTCATCTTCATATCCTCTTATCTTCCCATCCTCTCATCTTCACATCCTCTCATCTTCACATCTTCTCATCTTCACATCTTCACATCTTCTAATCTTCACATCTTCTCATCTTCACATCTTCTCATCTTCGCATCTTCTCATCCTCCCATCTTCTCCTCATCTTCTCATCTTCACATCTTCTCACATCTTCCCACATCTTCTCACATCTTCTCATCTTCACATCCTCACATCTTCACATCTTCTCCTCTTGCCCTCTTGCCCTCTTGCTCTC